CAMGYGTTTCAARTTYCAGATTAAACYSAACTYGGTGGYTYTGGAAAGCTAAGACTCGGGGCTTTCCAATGATACCTAGATCGTCTTCTGTGTCCTTACAGAACGACGGGAAAACTGTCCGCAAGTTCGTTGTTCGGAACTGGAAACATGAAATTCCATTCTCAAAAAACATGAACAACACGTTGACATCTAAAGAACACAGAGAACGGAGATTACATGGAAAAAAGGATCGGAAATCTGTTCTGAAAACTAGACAGAGAGACCTTTCCATAGATAGATGGATCGTCTCCTAAGTCCTTCTGGTTCAACGGGAATCTACCCTTGAAATGGACTGATCGCAGAGCCAAACTGCAGAAACATCTCTTAGTAAAGTGACGATAACTCTCAGAATACTAATCCAAATGACAAACCGATTTCGCCCAAAGCTAGATACAAGAGTGGAGACCTTACCCAAGAATTACCGATTCCGATCCGATCTTCCCAGCCGTTCTTCTCCCCTTCTAAAATCGGACAGAACTGTTTTTTCTCTCAAGAAAGTCACTTCTCTCACAATTCTCTCTAACTCTTCTGATTTTTGGCCAAAAGAGCCACAAAACGCGATCTCCACGCTTATGTAATCAAACCCTAGGGTTCCCTAAACCGATCGCCAAACCGAGCGATCAAAAACCGAACCAGACGGTTCAATTTCAACTTGCGTCGATCGATGCACAACATTTGTGTTGATCGACGCAACACCCAGAACCTGACTCCTCGCGAGTCCAAACACGTGTGTCGATCCACATACACACAATGTGTCGATCGACGCACCACCAAAAAATACACATTTTGGTTCACTGGCGTTACAATTACCAGCCATGTCTTGAAGCGGATGGTTGAGTTGAAACAATTCTTCGAGTACTTGCTGTAGATCTCGAGGCCTAGATGACGCTTCAGTTAGGCGGAGGAGGAGCATGTGGCAAGGAAACGGAGTCGAGGGGCCATGGCGATCAGATCAAAGTTGAGGAAGATGGCCGTCTCGATCAATGTGCCTAAGAGAGTTTTAAAACTAGGGCGAAAGTACCTTTTTATTGTTCTTGTTAATTATATGAATTTTCAGAAGTTTCATTTTACCATTTTATTATTTCATATTTTTTTTTTATATAAGTAAACGTGTTAAATCAAATGTATAATAATTTAA